CCCCCCCCCCCCCCCCCCCCCACACACACACACAGAGGCACGCACACACAGTGTGTCTATCTCTTGCGGATTCTCAGCAACCACATGGCCATATTCAGGCTGGGCATGGGTTCACTGTTTTCTAAACGTCGAACATGATAGTGAATCCACCCGTAGAACATGGAAAGATACATTGCCAGGCCGTATGCATTATCGACGATGGCCACACCGGGTTTGGGACGATGGCAACAGTATAGACCCCAGACTGCCACGCAAGAGGACAACAGCGAAGGTGGAGGTGGGAACTGACGGCCATGGCCACACAGCATTCGCACGGAGCAGTACACGTGCGGCGAAACCCAGAAAACCAAACAGGAAGAAAAAATAAAAAATACAAACCCTAACACGAATCTCTACGGAACTGTACTGCATTTGGCGGCAGTCCTCACGAACCGACTGGAAGATGTCAGTTCATATGGACCATAGGTTCAGGCAGAAGTGCCAAAACGAGGTACAGGTACTGGTACCCAAAATTTGCACGAAACGACAGAGGACGCTGGGCCCGGTTCCCGGCACGTGCTGCTCCCGAGGAATAGACTGGAGCATTTGTTTGAAAGAAAATAAAGCTTCGGGGAAAACCGGCGCGCAGGGCATATTCAGGCTCCGCATTGATAGCTGGGCCAAGTACTGGTGGTTGCTAGGAGTTACTACACGTGCCCTTTTTCTACCCTACAACCTTACAAACGTATATCCAACCCGCCGGCTTTGGGAGCAAAAGCCCAAAGCTGAGCTGCAAGCGTTTGAATTCAGTGTTCACCTGCCAGTGATTGATCTCAACATTCAATGGCGTTCCCATTCAGTTCTCCCTGTTTATGACACTTTTTGTTTTGTTTTGTGTTTTCAAACACAAACCAGAATCCTCATCTATTCTGGTGCAAAAGGTCAGATTGCCACTTCTTTCAGCTCCAATTCCAAGCTTGCCATTGTCAGAATGAGCCACAGAGGACAGGCAGCATGGTTTTTTATGTATTGGAACCTGTAGATATCCAGATGCTTTGGGCCCTTCCTGATGTGTGAGATTTAGTCCCCAAAAAAAAAAACCAAGCCATGAGAAGTGGTGATCGACTCTTTCCCTGAGCAACTCCTACATGGCCTGTGTAAACCCACGTGACGGGACCAACACGGGTGGAACAACCGAGCGCACGAACGGGGTCCTGATAGAGGTCAGGTCCATAGGTTGTACACAGCAGGAGTCCTTTCTTTTTTTTTATTGGGTCCTACCCCTTGTGAGATCCCGACCTACCCTTCCTCTCGTCAATTCTCCCCGGCAAGACCGCACTTAGGAGATGGCCCCGGGCAAAAGACAAAGACCGCACTTTGGAGATGCCCTCCCATGGGGTGGCGTGAACGTGTTCGACCGGGTGTCACCATGGCGGTCCAGTCTGGCGTTTCCATCTTTCTCTTCGTCTTGCTGGCATTGTTGCTGCCCGTAGCCCCGTCTTAGCTATCCTGGAAGAGGCATCACGGGGAGTGTTGAAAACCAGGCTGTCTTTCAGGAGCGCTGTTCGGCACCACCAAGTCACCTCCAGGATCAAACTGGGTTCCCTAGAGGCATGAGCCAACCCGAATGTCCCTCTAATCATTCATTTGCGATTCGCTTTGCACATTTCACAATGCCGTTTTCGCGGGAGATTTTACCCCGGTGAAAAGAGCAGTTTACCCCGGTGAAAAGAGCAGGGATGGAACTGCAGCTGTCGCGGTAACCGTGATGACCCAGGGGGGGCTCCCAGTAAAATAGTAGGGCCTCCAAGCGAGGACAACATGCTTTCACACTGTCGTCAGTGTTTTGCCGAGGAGTCCACGGTTCGATCGGCAGCTCTCCAGCTGTCGATTTACTGTGAAGTCCAGCGGGGCGCTGCAATTGTTTTCTTTCTCTTGGGCACTACTTCACCTGTCACCGCCGTACACAGGGAACTGAATATGATAATTAGGGCCAGATCCCACTGGCAAAGAGGATTAGAAAAAGTGTCGGAATCAGGACATGTTGCACGAGAGATGCAGAAAAGCAGATCAATTACGGTTTCTTGCACCTCTCCACACACACGTCCAGATTGAGACATTTATTCCAATCCTCTTTGTTGGTGGGATCTGGCGCTTAGAGAGGTCGCAGGTAAGCGACAAGATGAGATGAGGTGCCCCTTGTGGCGGAGCAGGTCAGGTCAGCGCTGGGCTCGATCGCGTGCCCTGATACTGATCTTACCTGCACCTCTGTGTATTGTTTTCTCCCGGGGACAGGCAAACGGGCAAACAGGCAGGAGAACCTGATCGAGCGGCGCGGAAGCCCGGCCCCGGCCCGCAGGCTCCCCGGCCCCCGCCCCCCGCCCCTGTCTTCATCCTCGCAGCGCTTAGGCATGTTCAGATTCAAAGGCAGGCGCAGCTCTGCAGCTGGCATGGCGTGGACCTGCTGGCTGTGTTTCGATTCGGGGAGCTGCGCGTGTTTCCTGGGCGGGCCGAGGAGAGGGTTCTCATCCAGTGGGACGAGCCCGTTTCCCCAAATAGAGAGATAAGGAGTGGGAGGGAAGTCACAGGGGTAACACCGAAGAGGGGCGATTGGCAGATTCCACGGAAGCGAGTGTTCGACAACACTCGCTGCGTGCTCTGCGAAGTCGCTTTTGTGGAAGGAGAGGAGGGGGAGGAGGAAGGGAAGGAGAGGGCGTCGGTGCCCTGTCTCGAGGCGGTGGGAATCAGCGGCCGCGCTATATTGTGGGCACGAGGGGCCCGCTGTTGCTGTTTCATGGCCGGCTGGACTCTTGAGCTGTGAGGTGGTGGTCCTATTTTTATACGTTTCCTGCCCAGCGAAGCTGCTCCCCTCGTCAAGTTCATAGGCCACTTCGCCATCCCGACAGACCCCTTTCTCTCCTCTTCGTTGCTTTTCAGTATCCGGTCCGGCGCTGTCTTCTTGGCGCTCTTGCGGAGCCTCCAGAAGGCAGTCTGTTTAAGCAGCAGCGATGGCGGACGGCGAGGATGTCCAGGCCCTCGTCTGCGACAATGGCTCAGGTATGGTGAAAGCCGGTATTGCGGGCGATGATGCTCCGCGCGCTGTCTTCCCCAGCATTGTCGGCCGCCCGCGTCACACCGGTATCATGGTGGGTATGGGTCAAAAGGACGCCTACGTTGGCGACGAAGCGCAGTCCAAGAGAGGTATTCTCACGCTGAAGTATCCCATTGAGCACGGCATCGTCACGACATGGGACGATATGGAGAAGATTTGGCATCATACCTTCTACAACGAATTGCGTGTTTCGCCCGAAGAACATCCAGTCTTGTTGACCGAGGCGCCTCTCAATCCTAAGACCAACAGAGAGCGAATGACTCAAATGTAAGTTTTGTGTATCGTGTTCCCCTCCCCTGTCTTGAACCTTTTAGGTTCATGCATAGCCTGTGGGCGACTCTTCCTGTATATATGGCAGTCCGTGTCTCTGTCTCATGTCTTCCTGCCGGGCTCTCTCTTGTCTGTATGTCTGTCGTCCACCGTCCTGCCTGCCTGCCTGCCTATCCCGAGGAGAGCTCGTTTCCAGGTCGCCTTACGTTTGCGACGCCTCATTGGAAGTCGCAGTGCCGCTCACTTCATTTACTATTAAGGTGCTGCGGTGTTAGGCGTGGACCTTGAGGGAGGGGAAGTTAAGTGTGCAAGCAAGTGGGGGGGGGAAGAAGGGATGTGAAATGAAGAATGGTTGAAAAAACTCGACCTAGCCGCTGCTTGCTTATCGGTACTGCCGAGCCAAGTCGTAGGTTTGCTTACTCCGTCGCACTCGTTTCGTTTTGTCGGATGGGTCCGAGTCCAAAGAAGCAGGGTAGAGGGAACGCGTGCGGGAGAGGCGGTAGCGCACGGTGTTTACCGTGAATCTATGGGTGCCGAAGTGAAACGCGGGCGGCAGATGACTCGACTATGGTGTTGTATACAAGGTAGAATATGTTATTGCCTATAAGGTTGAATTTCTGTACATACGACATTTTTTGTACACGACATTTTGGTATCGACATTACTAGGATGGATGGACGGGAAAGCGCGAGCAGGTGAGGACGTCGCGTACGGTGTATAGTGTGTCATTATTCATCTATGGCTGTTGTGTCGAAGGGTCCGGTCGAGGATGTGGAATTGGGTGTTACCGCCATGGGGTGCTAGTGGCTGATGATGCGCCAATATGCTGGGCTTGGTTCGTTCGAGAGTTGAGTATCTTATTGTATAAAGGTAGAATTTCTTGTACATGTGACATGGCATTATAGTGTGGTTGCTATGATGTTATTTGGTGTTGAACCTCTAGCTAGGACTTGTCGTTGTGGGAGTTCCTTGTTTTGACTACCTCGCATGGTGACCGAGCTCTGAACTGCCATTTCCCATTTAGCGTGCAGTTTCGTTAGCTTCGCTTTACTGCACGTGGATTAAGTGAGCCGCGAGCGTTTTCTAAAGTTCTTTATGAGAAGTAGCAAGTTAAAGTATTTGACCCTGTCCTAAATCAGATAGGCGGCGCTCACGGAGAGACGAGCGTGAGGCGTATGTGCAGTCACGGTGGTATATAGGGTGGGCTGTCAGGAATTAGCCTGCCGTCGCAGTTGCTGCGGCTATAGTAGTGTACGCCGGTAGTTGGTCTGCATGCATATCGGAAGTGCTACGACTTGTGTTCGTGCTGCCTTTGATTGGCAATGTGTCCAATGTGTATAGGTTGTGTACGTTGTCGAATGCCTCGGAGCGGATGTCATGTGAGCGTGCATGTGAGAAGTGTATTAAGCCATGCTACTTCACCTTGTCCATAGCCTGACTTGTTGCGTCTTGCTGCCTCTCGCTGCCTCTCGCTGCCTCTCGCTGCCTCATGTGAGCGTGCATTTGATTAGTGTTTATTAAGCCAGGCTACTTCACCTTGTCCATAGCCTGACTTGTTGCCTCTTGCCGCCTCTTGCCACCTCTCGCTGCGTCTCGCTGCCTTTCGCTGCGTCTCGCTGCCTCTCGCTGCGTCTCGCTGCGTCTCGTTGCCTGTCGCCAGCTCTCGCTGCCTCTCGCCGCCTCTGCAACCACCACGTCGCATAGATGTACGCCAGAGGGAGGTCCGTTTACTGCACATGTCTTGTTGCTGCCGCATGCATGTGGACGTTCTTTGATACCCTCTTTGGGCGGGAACGAGTATAGATTGCACTTCTGTTCATCCTTCCTCCAGTAGTTTGACGTGTACAATATTTGTCGCCGAGCTCGTTGAGCGAAGCCGCCACGCCAGAGGTAGTGCACCAGATATGATGGGCACCGGTCGTGTCTAAGAAAGGTGGCGTCGGTCGATACGAAGCTGGTAAACCTCAGCGTGTATTATTATTAACGGGTCTAATGATAGAACCGACGGACGGTCATCGTTTATGTACTAATGTCATGAGTAGTTCTGTTGTCTTGTCTCCTGGTGTTGGGAAGGTACGTTTTCATATTTTCCAATCACTCCGTGTTGTCGGCCACTCACTTTCCATTTCGTAATCTTCCAGTGCATTTAGCTTCGACCGTGCATGTCAATCAATGCATTACGACACCGGCTATGTGTACAGGAGGTGAATTCGTAACGTTTGTACTGTTTTGTTTTGTTCGTATTTAGCATCAGTGTTTTTAGATTGTTTTGTTCGTACGTAGCATGAGTTTTTTAGACTGTTTTGTTCGTACGTAGCATCAGTTTTTTTTAAAAGTTTATGCAATTGTTGTAAACAGATGGGACAAGAATAAAAGAAGAGTGTGATGATGTCTGCTTTCGAGAAGATGAGTTGGTGTCCTCGTACGAATGACTAGACGACGATACGTGGCGTGAAAAGGCATTTTGGGTAGTGTATGTATGTCCCTCCTGGCAGCCCTGTTACTCTTTTGTCGGGAAAATGAAGGTTACTTTGATTGATGTTTATGCTCATTTCTCGGAGCTGCATATCCTAGAACGTCAGAATGGTTTTGCGAGTCGTACTTTGCAATGCAGGCCCGCGTGGATGTTCCTGTGCTACCTTCTTCACCTGAATACAACGTGCGGTCGTTATCGCTGTATTTAAAACGGAAGGATATCCCAAATACATACACAGTTATAATGACCGTACGTTGTATTCGTGTGAAGAAGGTAGTTTGAACTATAATGGGTTTGTCTTGAAAATCGTATTAGTTCAGTGTTTATCTCCGTTGTTTGCCTTTAGGGTTGGTCGCTTTTCTCTGCTGACGTCTGTGATAACAAAGGTTGCGCCCGTCTGTCACTCAACGCTCCTCGTGTTTCGCCTTGACTCTGGTCACATTTCTGAAGGCATTGCTTGGGTATGGGTGTTTGTGCTCAGAAGGAAGGTGTCGCTCTGGAGAGGAAGCTGCGAGTTTCGAGCCCTTGATTTGCTTATCTCGGGGTGGCGGGTGTTTTCCGTGCTTTGTGTGTAAGGTGTCGTTCTTGAGAGGAAGCTGCGCGGTACCAGCCCTTGATTTGCTTATCTCGGGGTGGCGGGGGTTGTCCGTGCTGTGTATAGCCTGCGAGATGAAGTGCTGTTGAGTTTTTGTCGATGGTTTTGTAGGCTTCAATTCATTTTATGTTGTTGTACTTTGCTCGACTTCTGTTTGCTGACGTTAGCCTCTTGATTTGGTCTGTGTTTTTTTGGCGCGCAGTATGTTCGAGACGTTCAACGTGCCTGCCATGTACGTGGCTATTCAGGCCGTGTTGTCACTGTATGCCAGTGGACGAACGACGGGTATTGTGCTCGACTCTGGCGATGGTGTTACTCACACCGTGCCTATCTACGAAGGGTTCGCACTTCCTCATGCCATCTTGCGACTGAATCTCGCCGGTCGTGATCTGACTGACTACATGATGAAGATTTTGACGGAGAGAGGGCACTCTTTCACGACGTCCGCGGAGCGGGAAATCGTCAGAGATATCAAGGAGAAGCTTGCGTACGTGGCATTGGACTTCGACCAAGAAACGGAGACGGCAGGAGGAAGCTCCGCTCTGGAGAAGACGTACGAGTTGCCCGACGGGAACGTCATCACCATTGGCGCGGAGAGGTACAGGTGCCCCGAAGTGTTGTTCAACCCGTCGTTGATCGGGATGGAATCCAATGGTATTCACGACACCACCTATAACTCCATCATGAAGTGCGATGTGGATATCCGAAAGGACCTGTACGCGAACATTGTGCTCAGCGGTGGGTCGACTATGTTCCCTGGTATCGCCGACAGAATGAGTAAGGAGATTACGGCTGCTGCTCCTGCCGCCGTGAAGATCAAGGTCGTGGCACCTCCGGAGAGAAAGTACAGTGTCTGGATTGGAGGGTCGATTCTTGCCTCCCTCAGCACCTTCCAGCAGATGTGGATTTCGAAGCAGGAGTTTGAGGAGTCGGGCCCGCCCATTGTGCACAGGAAATGCTTCTAAATGCTCTCGAGGAAATGTCGAGGAAGAAGAAGAGGACAGGTGGAGGCGAGGAAAAGCAGAGGTACGGAGTATAGCTGTATGTATGTCCCCGCCGCCAATTACAAGAGCAAGAAGAGAGTTGAGTCGGTTCACCGTATTGTTGTCCGGCGGTGATATCGATTCATTTCGCCCGCCTTGGCGTTCGGTGTTTTTTTTTGTGGTGTCTTCTTCGCGGAGCTTCTGAAAGTCTCTGAGTTGAGCGCCGCTGTAAATCGTTTTAATGTTATGCGCGGGGAGTTGGTTTCGTTGTCACCGGCGGAGGAGGAGGGAGGTGCTTTTTAAGGAACAACATTCGGCACGCGGTGGTCAGCGACGTTGTGACGAGGTTGGGTATATAATATCCAGGAAAGGCGGCGAAGTCAGCAAGCGGAGTGGTGTTTTTGGAAGCACAGCTGCAGCAGCCTTCAGGGAGGCGGCGGGGGTGTCCTGTGTTCTGGCGACGGCATTTGGTTTCCTGTGTGGAAGAGAGAGAGACATTGGGCGAGCCTCGGATTTGCAAGAGGTGTTGGTTTTTTATTTTGTTCTTTCGAAACTTTTGGAGCGTGCGATGGATGAATGAACCGCTAGTTTTGATGTCTATCCATTCACTTGTGATTCGTTTGTTTATTTCACTCGGCCGTTTTGGGAGTGCCAAATTCTGAGACGCCTCTAGGATCTCCTGCCCTCTCTGGGATTGCAGCAGCTTCTCCCTCAGAAATTGTGTCGTTCGGTTTCTCTTTTTCTGTCGGTCGTTCGGTTTCTCGCCGCCCTCATTGTCACAATTGCTGGTAGCAATAGTTTGTTCTGGTCTTTCCATGTTGTCTTCTATCGTTGGTGGTCTCCATAGTAAGCTGTGTGGGAGTCGTTCAAAATCAATCTTGATGCGACTGAGTGTTGGTGTTTCTCAGCTGCACTGAATAAATAATGATCTTTCTTAGCCGTAGGTCTCTTTGGGCGAAGTAATCGGATATGTTGGTTGACGCTTTATTACAATAAGCGAGTGAGAAAAATGCTAATGTCTCCAAGTTCTTTGTTCCTCTTGTCTCTCTCTCCCTCTCTCTCTTTCTATTTCTCTTTGTCTCGTCCTTGGTTCTCCCTGCTTTGCTGCGATTGCTGTATCAGCAAGCACGCTGGCCGGCGTCTGGAGATCGCCCCTGCTGTGATTAAACTCCCTCTCTCCTGATGAGATGGTGGTTTTTATACGCAGGCAGCAGGCCTTCCTCTTTATGTAATGCTTTGACGGTGCACTTTCGGAGGAAAGCGTGTCGTTTTAACTATATATATACATACATACATATAGTACGACGAACCAAATGGAGGTGCAGCAGTTTGCTTGGTTCTTCTTGATAGCTCTTTTTGTGAGCTTTCTGGAGGTTATGCGTGTAATTAAATTGAGTTGTCGTGGAGGAGGGTCGGTGGCAGTGAGTTGGTGGCGGCCGTTCGATGTGCGCGGTAGTGCTGAGATGATGTGCAGAACTGTCTGGAGGGGATGTGAGCGTTGCGAGGAAAGAGAGGGAGGGGGGAATTGGTGAACCTCTAGAGGTGACGGCTCGGCGAGCAGCAGCTTTGAAAAGGGAGGAGGATATCGGGATAGATGATGCGGGCGAGAGGCGAGAGGCGAGAGAAGAGAATGGTGATTGACGTTAAAGGATGTCCACTTTATCATCTTCGTTGTCTACGTGGCGGGAGTTGTAAGGGCTAGTTGGTCTGGCTTAGGACTGGTGGCTCGTCGTAAACGTTGTAGAATCTGGCCTCCCGTTCGTTTGTTGGGGAGAGGAGTGGCTAGGTTGGTTGGATACAGTGGGTCCGTTGCTGGGAAAGGAGTGCCCAGGTTGGTGGGAGAGTGGGTGGGTGATGCGGCAGGGTAAATTTCAATGAGGTTGCGTTTGACGATAGACCGTGGGACAGAGTTCCATTGCTTGGACAGTGGGTGGGACAGTGGTCCGTTGCTGGGAGAGGACTGCCTCAGCGCCATGTTCTGCTTGTTGAAGGGTGTAGTAGTCTTTTTTCAGGGGCCTATGTGACTTGCTAAAGCCCGCCGATTGGGCATTAATACGTGGAGTCGTCTAGCTGTTTGGACGTAGGGTAACATTATTTTTGTGTTTCATGATATAAGTAAATGCGTGGATTGACATAGTCGGTCGGACGAAACTGAGTGTGTGGAAAGGTGGGGACAACGCAGATGTTTCCTTGCTATTTTGGTT